GGGGGGGGGAAGGCACCCGCGACGGGACAGGCGAGAATCCCCCTTCCCGGGGCCTCCAACCGCCCTCCCGTCGGGAACTCCCGAAGGCTGGACTCGGGCGCGGACGTGAGGCCCCGCAGTCTTCCCTCCGGTCCGCTCCAGCCCGCCTTCCTCGCGCTGCTGCCGGACAGGTGAGCGCCGGGCAGGTTGGCCTGGCCCGAAGGAGGAGGAGGAGGAGGAGCAGCCATGGGGAGCCCGGCCGAGGGAGGCGGGCGGTGGACGGGAGTTGGGCCGGCGGGTCTGGGAGTCGGTGTTGGGGTCCTGGAACGCGAGTGTAAAAGTAAGTGTGTGTGCGTGTGGTGTCCCTTGTGTACAGGCGGGTTGACCCGCGTGAGGATATGCGTGGGCGTGTGGCAGGCTTAGTGTATGGTGCCACGAATGTAGTGGAGGGACTTTTTCACGGGGTGGTGGGTCTTTGTGTGTGAAGATGTGGGTTCACACTGAGTATTTGTGTGTGTGTGTGTGTGTGTGTGTGTGTGTATCAGTGACTAGGTAGCATGTAAGTAATGTAGATTTCCTGAGAATTGGTCTCTCCTTGTGTAGACGTGGGTTCCGTGTATGTGAATTTGAGTGTGTATCAATGTGTATCATGCAACAAATGTAGGGATTTATTATGTGTAGAGATGGGTTCACGTGTCTGGATGTATGTTTGCGTGTCTGGATGTGTGTTTTGTGCGTTTGGACATGTGTTTTGTGTGTCTGGATGTGTGTTTTGTGTGTCTGGATGTGTGTTTTGTGTGTCTGGGTGTGTGTTTGGGTGTATTCCTGTCCATTATACAGTGAATTTCCTCTTTTTATCCCTTGAACTTTTTACTCTCTTTTCTTTCAGTGTGTTTTGTGTTGAGTTACTATTATAACCAATCCTAAATTTAAAAAAATCTATATATTTTGAAAACAACAATCCGGATAACGAAGTATTTCTGCTTTGCACCAGTGCCACATCTGAAATGAAGTTGGCTTGTTTGATCCAGTTTTGATCTCAGAAACCTGATGAATTCTTCACTGGGTATTTCCAGTCCCTTCCAGGTAGGAAAATGTGAAATATTAAAATGACACTGAAGTTACAGGTTACCTTTCATGATGCAAGGATTAACCTAGAGCAGGGCTCTCCAACTTTGGCAACTTTAAGATTAGTGGACTTCGATTCCCAGAATTCCCCAGCCGGCTGGGGAATTCTGGGAATTGAAGTCCACTAATCTTAAAGTTGCCAAGGTTGGAGACCCACGACCTAGAGAATTGGAATGGGGGGTTGCTAGATCATAATTGTGTATTACTCCTTTTCCAAAGTTTCTTTTTCTCCCTTTGTTAGAACCTGGCCTCCAGATCAGAGAGCGACATTGTTCAGAAACTGAAGAAAGAACTCCAGCTGGTACTTGCGGAGCTTAAAGATCGCGATAAGGAACTGAACAACATGGTGGCTGTGCACCAGAGGCAGTTTTTGGCTTGGGAGGATGATCGTCAGAGGATACTCACACTGGAAGAACGAAGCAGCAGGCTGGAAAGTGAGTTTCACCAAAACCTAGGCCTTTAAAAGGAGCTCAGCCTGTCTGGCCTTGGCAGTCCCCTTTTACAGATCGTAAGACTGAGGCTGATGGTTCCGCTGGCATAGTCCTGGGTACACCAGGGGGGTTCGAGGAAAGGTGAGTTTGGAGTTAGCGCCTTTGTGGCTGGCAAGTGGATATAATCCCAGCGTTGGCTAACAAGTTTGTGAAAAGTTTCTCTCTGAAAAACACTAACACGTTAGGCTAATAGTCCGTCACAGCATCAGGTACATGATGGTTATTTTAGCCACAATACTGGGTTTATGCTCTACCCCAGCCTTCTAGGGGGAAACAAGCCACTTTCAAGCCATTGTTTCTGACCCGTGTGGTTGTTGACTTCACATACCTAGAAGGTCAGATGGAGGAAAAATGTTCTACAATATTTGATTCACTAAGGAAGACATTAAAGACAAGTGCAGTTTTGGGGGTTGCGGGGAACAGGTTATACCCCACACATATATACTAAGCTGCTTGTTGTCGTTTTAAACAGCCAGCAAGGAGGAATTTCAACAGTTGGCTTGTCTGGTCCTAGAAATGTTGGCTTGTCACTCTGTTGAGATTCCTTCTGCACCATGGAAATCCTGGAATGTTGCCTTAGGCATAGAATCCTTTCAAGAGATTCTCTAACAATAGTAATCACCAGTACTGTGTTAAATCAGTGACTGGATGCTCTTCCAACATGGGGGCTGTATGTATGTAGTAGAGCAGTTGTATTTTCTCAATCTTCTGTATGTGAAAACCTGGAATGAAACTAGCAAAGGTGCACTGAGATTCCCTTAACAAACCCTCCTCTCGAATTGTGTGGTTTAAAGACAAAGAAATATGGCAGGTACAACAGCCTGAAAGTGGGCAGCGAAACCAGGATGTGGGTGTTCTTTTGAGGAATTACTGTATGTTTTCTCTCTCTGTCTGTCTGTCTTTTCTTTTTCCGATGTTTAAATATTTATTTCCAATATTTATTCTAAATTGAATAGGAGGCTCCGGAATGGCTTAATGTAAAGCCTCTCTGTCTTGCCAGAACCACAGCCCAGGGAGCATATGAATTTGATAAATAAATAATAATTTATGTACAGCAGAGTTTCAAATCGTGATTTTTAAAACAGAGTGTCAACTAAAAAGATACTTCATTGGTCTTTTTAGCTGCCAGAAAAAGGGAGTGGTGGAAAACAGTGCATTCCTTAAGTGCCTAGATAATCATCCTAGCAGCCCAAAGCTGTCGGCGCACAAGATTATTACTGGAGAGCCTGATTGATGACTCTGGGCTATGGATGTGTCCCATTGGAGAATATACATCCAGGGGGTGAGGGAAGACCAGGGTCAAAGGGGAGATGAATGATGTGTCTTAGAACTGGCTGCACCCAGGTAGCACCGGCATGGCCGCTTCTAATAAATCAATGTTATTTTCTTTGAGAGAAGCGGCTAGAGATTTACGATTTGAATTGGGGGTGGATTTGTTGGAGTCCTGACACAGAGAGGCGGGGGAAATGAATTATATTGTCGGTTTACCATTGTTAACAAGGTTTTAATCCCACACCCTCATCCCCCCCAGATGAGCTACATAAGAGAAATGAAATGGTATCCACCCTGACCCAGAGATTGAAGCTCCTGGGGTCCCTGCAGAACGACTGCAGTTCGACGCTGGAAAACACTCAGCAAAAGCTGCAGGAGTTGTCTCGCAAAGCCTCCGACACGTCTCTGCAATGCCAGAGCCTCGAGGTAAAGCCACTGTCCTCCTTCTGGATTTTTTTGTTTTTAATCCTTTCCACCGATATGCTGCCAACTCTTCAGGGCTGCTGGGCGGCTTGCAAACGGGTTCAAAACTCTCAAACCCGGAATACAAGGTGAATAATCAAGTGGCAGAGGAAAGAACAAACCCGGATGTAAATAAAGAAGGGGGGGAAAAAAGAGAGAAGGGAGGTATCGTCCCGCTCGCCAAACACAAAAAGTCACATTTTTGAATCCTTTTTGAAGCACCGGAAAAGTTGGGGGGCTGTTTAAATCTTTTTTTTGGGGTGGGATCTGCTTTTCTCTTGCAGGGCCTTAACGGGATGCTTGCTGCTGTATTTGCAGTGTTGCAAATTTGTAATGCGAGTTCCTCTGAAAATAAAATTGTTCTTTGGGATTGAGTGGGCTGTCCGGTTTTTTTGGAGAGTCCCGTAAACCAGAGAGAAAGACATCTGCAAAGCTCAGAGTGCCTTTATTGTATTCATGTGATGGGACAGGTCAGTTGGGAAGAAAACCCTGCTAGAATCTGTCCTCCTTGTCTCTTTTCTCTTAGGAGAAAAATCAAACTTTGGTTGGCTCCGTGATGGACCTCTCAAACCAAGTGGGTCAGCTTCAAGCCAGGGAACAAGAGCTTCTGACGCTTTTAAGACTCAAGGTATTTCATTTGGGTCCTGCCAATGTTTGCCTGTCATTGGGAAGGGCCTCCAAAGTAGATCCATGTGATCCTGAGCAACTTGCAGATGGGTGGGCTTCAACTCCCAGAATTCCCCAGGCCACCACGGGGAGTGAAGCTCCTTTGAGCTCTTCACGAATGGACCCCTTTTTCAAAGAAGTTTCTTGCTTTTCAGCGGTCAGGCGATAACTTATCTTCATTTTTAAGTGCTTTGGTTTTATTCTATTGCGAATAGTTGCTGGGGTGCATCCACAGTTTCGTTGTACTTGTACAACGGCAGTAAAGTTCTTCTAATTCTAATTCTCCTAATTCCAAACCTCCATTTATTTCTTGGTTTCGGTAGGATGACGATATCCTTGAAGCAACCAATCAGATCACTGAGTTTACCAGCAAATTTAAAAAGTTAGAAAGTGCTTTGTGTGCATGCAAGATGCAGGAATGGAGTTTCAATGAGGAGAAGCGGAATTTTAAACTCAGGCTGAAGGAAATGATGTCAGAAGCAAACCGACTAAAAGGTAAATTATGTTTAGAGCAGGGATGTCCAGTCTTGGCAACTTGTTTAAGACTTGTGGACTTCAACTCCCAGAACCAGTCCTGCTGGCTGGGGAATTCTGGGAGATAAAGTAAATCCACAAGTCCTAAAGCTGCCAAGGTGATTGAACGGCAAGCGATTGTATAAGAAAATGCGAAGAGAGAAATTGGTTTGCTCTTTCTTTTTTCTTTTTTAAGAGGATCTCAGTGAAAAAATCAAAGAAAACAGTGCCCAGAGGGAAGAAATTATACAGCTCAAGCAAGAAAATGTTTATTTAAGTAATGAATTAATGCTTACCGGTGAGTAAGTCTGAAGGGTTAACTGAGTCTTGAGTTCTAAATGGCCCCCTTGCATCCCTTAAACCGCGTTGAAGAT